CGGCCGTAGCAACGTGGGTTTGAGTCCACGTGTGCGCTTCATTATATTTGTTTCGATTTTTAGCGAACAATTTCCTCCTGTTTGGTTAAAGACTAATAAACACTCAACATAGGATTACATAGTGGCTAATAAAACTTGTGAATGTGTGCATTTGTTGTGCTAACAATCTCAAGTTTGCAAATAAGGTGTGAACACTTGAGATTGTATGCAAATGCATAAGTTCACAAGTTTTATTCTTAACCACTGCATAATCCTATGTTCAGTGTTGATTAGGTTTTAACCAAGCAGAGAAACATTTTTTTCTAAAAAACGAAACGAATACATGGTCTGGAACCCGCGTCCCCGCAAGCGCAAACCTCGCACTAAACCACTACACCATCGTCAGACAAAATTTTCTGACTTTAATTTAGAACTGTTCTCCAACCAGCCGACGCTCACTATTCCTAGATACTTGATCCTAACATGTGGGTCGGCCGAGGACCTGTTTATCACTTCTGAACAACGTCTTTGTAAGGGGCGCATCTGGACGTAAAACAAAGCCCTCCCAGGCGTTGAATAGACGTTCAATCCGCACCTCCCTACGAGCCCTGCTCAGCCTCTGGAAACTTTAGATTGTTAGTACAGTAATGATGTGTCTTAACAATATTATGTCAAACGCTCTGAACAGCCCACGCCTACTAATGCTAGATCACATCAATATCGCGCCGGTCGGTCGTGACCTTTTATTCACGTCCAAACGACGTCTCTGTAGAGGCGCATCTCGACGTGAAACAATGACCTGCCATAGACGTGGATTTGACGTCCAATCCCAACCTCCCTACCAGCCCTGCTCAGCCTGCTTGGAAACTTGAGATTGTTAGCACGATAAATGCATAAGTTCACAAGTATTGTTCTTAACCGCTTCATAATCATATGGTGAGTGCTGATTAGTTTTTAACAAGCAGAGAAAAAATCTTTGTTAAAAAATGTAAACCCTAATTAGAGTCAACGACAAGCTGACTTGAACCTACGTCACCGGGTCTTAAGACACTTACATAACCATTAAGCCACCATGTATGTTACATTTACTGAAGGAAAAGTATTAATATATATAATAATATATCACCTATACCAACACCTGTTAACCCAGAAATGCGTTTGTAGCACATATTTCACTTTCTCAAATCACATCATTTGGATATACATTTGTTCAATTTCCCCATTAAAATGAGTTGCGGACATGAGGTTGTTAACAAATGCAAACGTTTATAAGTTTTATTCTTAGCCACTACATTAAGTGTCGATTTGTTCAGTATTTTGGATTTGTTAATCCAAAAAGCAGAAAACGCATAGGTTCGATCCTGAGTTAACACGGTACAGCCACTGTAACATAACCAATACACTATTACGTGACTAGGTGGGTGTTTTTAACTTTTAATCAAATGATGTGGCAAGTTTTGCATCAGACGAGAAGCTTTTCTCCGTTAACTCGTCACTGGGTAGCTGTTGTATCTCGTAGTCGACAACTTGTGTCATATCAGTCAGCCCTCGGGGGCCTCCTGCCGGTTTGGGAGCCCCAGGCAGCTGCCTGCCTTGCATTAAATGGCAAGGGACGCGTCTGTGCGGCGATCTGGGCGATTATAAGGCAATCATGACTCTCGGATTCTACCCGTATATACACTACATTGTGTGTTCAGCATAATATATATAAAATATCTGAATAATATGTTACTGATAAGCCCACTATACGCCAAAACATGTCCCCTGTATCGTAGCCACTTGTATGACGTTCATAGCAACAAAACAATGCGTGACAATAAGTTAAGTTTCCAGCGAGAAATGATTGATTAATTGTGCTGAAAGCAAGTGACCGGTCCAAGATGGCGGCCCCGGGGCTGTATAAAAGGAGCACTCTAGGGTTTTGCACCGGCACCTCAAAGACAACTGAAAAAAGTAAGTAGTTTTTCACACATGGCATACGTGGTATTCATTTGTTGGTACATTATCCGTATTTTGGATTAACCCTTTTGGAACGATGCATGCGGTATTGTTTAAATAACTAATTTTGTAACCACATTCCAAATGTCTAATGTGGGACTCGGGTGATGGAGCTGCTGTAGGTAGGCATGTAAAGACCTTACAGAAGGTATTTTTTTGCTTTTATTTCATTCTTCTGAAGGCAGCCAGGGGATTAAAACTAAGAATACAATATAATTAAATCAGGTACAGTCAAAAGCATTATATGCAGTATAGATGTTAATAGTCCTTACAGCTTTGAGTTAAACATGCCACTTACTAATTAGATCAGAACATCACTGTAGACATGTAAAAGGCAGGCTTCTACTTGTTATATTGGCATTTATGAATAAAATATTTGGCCTGTATGATCAATGAATCTATAAACATGAAAACATCTTATTGCCTTCAAAGATAACAGGAGATCACATCCAAAACATGTGCTGAACAGTCTCTGAGTGGTTTTCACAATAGAATTTCACATCAATGTCTCTTAAATGTTGTCATAATGATTTGCTTGATAACATTTGTGAATAATTTTAAATGGAACTTCCTTCACCTTATTAGTTATAAAAATATTAATAATAAGCCAAACGAGCGCTACTCACTCGGCGACGTCACATCCGGACCCGTGTGAGCCGGAAGTACTTCTCCTTTTACCTCCAACATGCTCGTTCCTATTTTGTAAGGCCATTTATCGCGCTAAATCGATGGATATTCAAGACTACAAGATGTGTACTACTCTGCTCATAGTACGTGTGCACTGCTCACATGTGCACAATAGGCTTCAGGCCGAAGGAGAAGGAGAAGCTTTGGACAGAAGAGGACAAATGACTACACAGTTGCTCGCAATGATTAGGAGGATCGACTTGACCGCAGCCATGGTGAAAATGGCCAACGAAATACATTCAAGGTGCAGATGAATGGGACCCCCTCTGATTTGTTCATAACTATGTTCCTCACACGGAGACTTTACCACTGATTCAGTGGAAATTCTACAGCGAGCGGTACCAGGACTAACAGACCACTGCGCTGTCAGGGGACAGGTACAGTAAAATATACGTGAGTCCTTATTTTAACTCCCTTATGTTTTCAACCTTGTAAATCGATATTTTCCGTTGCAGGTGTAAAATTTGGAATTCACAAGAAAACAAGTGGAAAGCTTGTCAAAACATTTAAGATTTAAAGATATGTTAGTGTATAATATACAATGTCATCAGGAATGCCTGGAGTGATTATATATAAGGAAGTTGCATTTAAAATTATTCATAAATATAATCAAGCAAATCATTATGACAACATTTAAGAGACATTGATGTGAAATGCTAACAGCACATGTTTCGGATGTGATCTCCTGTTATCTTTCAAGGCAATAAAGGATATTTTCATGATTATAAACAGGCCAAATATTTTATTCATAAATGCCAATATAACAAGCAGAAGCCTGCCTTTAGACATGTCTACAATGATGTGTGTGTGTGTGTATATGTATATATACATATATATGTGTATGTATATGTGTGTCTATCTCTCCATCTCTCTATATATCATTTCAATGTTGCAGAAAAAGAGGCAGATAAACATAAGAATATTCTTCTTCCCCTCTGCTCCTTTCCAATCATGTGAATGTGACAGAGAATGGCGATTACAGCCAAACTCTGCCTACTACGTGGTAATATGCCCAGCGAATTTGCCCGGCAACCACGAGGTCTAGATACTCTAGAGCGCTGGAAAGCTAGAGTACAGGCAGCTGCTTCTATACACGGGTCCAGTGGTGTTGCGAAACATACTGAACCCTGAACGGTATAGACATTTCTTAACACTGACTATTGCCATGTCCATATTACTTGACGCCAATGATTATGTACGGAATGCATACTTGCACTATGCACATTAGCTGTTGAGGAACTTTGTATCATCTTGCCCCGTACTCTATGGCCCAACTTTTTCTGTGTACAATGTGCATGGGCTGCTACATCTACATGAGGATGCCGAAAACTTCGGAAGGTCTCTCAATGATCTGTCATGCTTTCCCTTTGAGAACTACCTTCAAAGGTTGAAAAAAATGGTTCGGAATGGCAGAAATCCTCTCGAGCAGATTAGTAGGCGACTGTCTGAGAGCGAGATTGCTACACCAACACAGTCGACGTCAAGACGCATAATATCAGCAAAGCCAAGAGACTGCTGCTTCCTTTTGAGCAACAATCAACAGTTTGCGTTTGTGCTTGAGAGAAGAGCTGATGGGTCTCTTTTGTGTGAAGTGTTGGATAGGTCTCAAACGGTGCCTTACTTCACGCAGCCATGTAACTCTGCCCTTATTAACATTGTGTACGCTAGAAGGCAAACCATAAAAAGAAGGGTCATATGGGAGAGTGACTTACAGCGTAAGGTGGTGGTTCTGCCAGAAGAGGGGGGACATGTGCTCATACCTCTGAGGCATGGCATTGAGCACTGAACATAATTAGTTGAATTTGTTTTTTATGTTAAATTGTAATCACCCAGCACTTTGCTGCCACCTTTTAATGAGTGAGCAATGATTTGATTTAAATAAACAAAGCTACATCTGTGAGTATGGTACTTTCTCTGCTGTTGGTCTTCCCACATTAGTCTCTGCTGCTCACTTTGCAATAATTTTGGCAGAATTCCTATTTGTTCTTCAAATGTCTCTTAATCTCCCCCTCATCCGGATGTTTTAATTATTTAAATTCCTCATATGCCTCCATTCTCAATACAATTTACCGTACTATTTACAAATGAGCACTCGACCAAAGAAACCTCATTTCAAGTTGAATGCTGCTACTCAATAGTAATAATATTCTTACAGTCCGATTTCAGGTTTTGCCACAGAGACTGCATTTCAGAACAACTGTTCAAGTTTAAACAAGTGACTCCGGTAACCATGCTATGCCGTTTGTTTGATGGTTCAATCAATTTGTCATCCACGGTTATGTGGTTGAATAAGAATAGTTTTAACTCTTTTCTAAAAGTTGTGTTCTGCTTTTCAGATGTATGCCAGAGCTGTATGGGTGGAGAAGGGCAAGGAGATGGAGGGCACAGTTCCCTTCAATTGGGTGAAGGGCAATCAAATATTTTGGCCTAGGCAGAAGGCTCAGTCTGCTTTTAAAGCAAAAATTAATCCAGGGGATGACTGGTTGTCATTCCCATTGATAAAAATTAAAGTCACTTCAGGTATATTTGGATGTCCTATCTTGGTATACTTGACTCCAACTGTTGACCCAATTGTTTGTGGAAAGAGCTGGAATTGTATTGAATTTTACAGACAATTTACAGGAGTGTGAAAGTTATGCTCTGACCAGCCAGCAAGAGGAGGAGGAGGAGGAGGGCGGGTGTAAAGAAATCATCCTTCCTGTCAGCTTCCTGTCACGCTGGAAGCTGACAGGAAGCTTCCTGTCACGCCGCGGCAAGCTCAGTCTCGATTGCAACAATTTTGTGATTTTTTTCTTGATTTTCTTGTGAATCGTTTACCTGTGGATTACGTGCCTGTGGGTTTACGTGCCTTGGGTCCTTGTTTCCTCGCGCACCTTTGCCAGCACGAACTGTCTCTCCCTTCTGGACGGAGCGAACTCTGCTAACCCATCGCCTGTGTTATCCTACGCATCAAAATGTCCCGCAAAAAGGTCGGCCCGTCTCCAGAGGAGTTCGAGGACATAAAAGCTTCCCTCGATTTTCTCTCTGGAGAGATGACAACCGTCAGAGAGCAGCAGACACAGCTTCTGTCTTTACTGGAGCTGGTGAACACCCTTCGTCTCCAGAGCGCAGAGAAAGACCGGCGCATTGAAGATCTGGAGCAGCGGGTGGATGAGCTGGAGCAGTACAGCCGCATGAATGATCTGATCGTCACTGGGATTAAAATCAAGCCACGTTCGTTTGCTCGAGCGGTGGCCCCCGACGCGGTCAGCGGTCTGCCCAGCGAGGAGGATGTGAGGTCTGTGGAGCAACAGGTCGCATCCTTTCTCCAAGCGAAGGGGATAGTGATGGACCTGGAGCAAGTCGAGGCCTGTCATCCGCTGCCCTCACGGAACACCGAGAGACCTGCTGCTGTCATCCTGAGGTTTGTCAACCGCAAGCACAAAGTGGCGCTGCTTAAACAAGGTCGTAAACTAAAAGGGACAAACGTCTTCATTAATGAGCACTTGACTAAACGGAATGCGGACATTGCGAGAAGAGCTAGACAACTGAAAAAAATGCAGAAGATTCAGCACACATGGGTATCGAACTGTAAGATCTACATCAAGCTGAACGGGAGCCCAGAGGACGCCAGGGTGTTGGTGGTGAGAAAGTCTGAGGAGCTGGACAAGTTCATGTAAATTGGCCTTAATAAGGTAACACGTGACTGAAATGCATACTGATCACCATGATTAGACCAACACCAAACATACCTACACAACAAAAAAGCAATGATGTGACTATGCTGCAGACAATTCTTGAGCAAAAACAAATGGAACTTGAAACCTTCGATATAACTGAGAGCACATTTGATCTTTCTGATATAGACCCCGATATAAATTGTCTTTCTTCTGTTGTTGATAATTGTAATTATTTTAGTCAAGATCATTTCAACAAAAGTATAAGCTGCTCAGGGAAACTTTCAATAATACATTTCAATAGCAGGAGCTTGTATTCAAATTTTAGCTCAATCAAAGAGTATTTACTTCAATTCAATTGCACATTCAGTATTATTGCTGTTTCAGAAACATGGTTTAGTAATGAACGCGACATACAGTTCAGTCTGGATGGATATGAGCTTAATTATATGAACAGAGAAAATAAAACGAGGTGGGGTTGCTCTTTTCATACACAAATCATTAACTTATAAATGTCTCACCAATATGTCTTTCGTTATAGATGATATTATGGAATGTGTATCAATTGAAATTTGTAACGAAAAGCAGAAAAATTGTGTTGTAAGTTGTGTGTATCGGTCACCTGCTTCAAGTATTGAATCTTTTACTGGAATTATGGAAGAAAAGTTTTCATCCGTAAATCATAAACGATTATTTATCTGCGGTGACATCAACATTGACCTTCTGAATCCATCTAAGCTGAAAACAATTGATGACTTTACAGACACAATGTACAGTTTGTCACTCTTTCCCACTATAACTAAACCGAGTAGAATAACATCACATAGTGCAACTCTAATTGATAATATTTTCACTAATTATATTGAGACCCCTGTGATTAGTGGTCTATTATTGTGTGATGTTACTGATCACTTGCCCGTTTTTACTCTGTGCGACTGTAAGCCTAATAAAATTAAAGATGATAGGCTGGTGACATACAAGAGGATTAGATCAGATGTAGCCATTGACGCTTTTAACAACAGTCTGAAAGTCCAGGACTGGAGCTCAGTCATGTTGGAATCAAATGTTGATCAAGCCTATGACAATTTCTTGAACACATTTGTCTCACTTTATGATAAGCACTGTCCTCTGAAGTCATACAGTATAAGGAAGAAAGCAATGAAAAGTCCATGGCTTACAAAAGGAATACTGAATGCATGCAAAAAGAAGCAAAATCTCTATAAATTGTTTGTTAAATTAAAAACTAAAGATGCTGAGCTAAGATATAAGACTTACAAAAATAAATTGACTGACATTATTAGAAATTCGCGAAAATTATATTTTATTATTATATGATAATAAAAATAATATGAAAAAAACGTGGGAGATACTGAATGGTATTATCAAACAGAGTTCAACAAAAGTAGAGTACCCCAATTATTTTGAAAATATTAACGGTGATAAATACAACACGAAGAATATTGTAAATAACTTCAACCATTTTTTTGTGAATATTGGCCCAGAGCTGTCTGCAGAGATTCCTATCCAATCTAAATGCCAATGTAATATGGTAATTAATTCAAGCTCAATGTTTCTCTTAGCAACCACTGAAAAAGAAGTCAAAGAAGTAATCCTGAGTTGCAAGAGTAAATATTCCACTGACTGTCATGGTATTGATATGTCACTAGTAAAGAGAATTGTTGATAATATTATAGTGCCACTCACCCATGTTTGCAACTTGTCCTTCCAGTCTGGCAGTGTGCCAAGTAAAATGAAAAATGGCAAAAGTGATACCACTGTTTAAGAATGGAAATAAACATTTATTTACCAACTACAGACCCATTAGTTTGCTCCCACAGTTCTCCAAGATTTTGGAAAAATTATTCAGTTCACGACTTGAAAACTTTATCAACAAACATCAGTTAATAAATGATAGCCAATATGGCTTTAGGTCCAAAAGAACCACTTCAATGGCCATAATGGAGGCAGTAGAGGAGATTACTAATGCACTGGACAAAAATATGCACACGGTTGGAATTTTTATCGATTTTAAAAAGGCTTTCGACACAATCAATCATTCAATTCTCTCAAGTAAACTTGAAAAATATGGAATCAGAGGTGTAGCAGGGAAGTGGATAAAAAGTTACCTGACTGGAAGAGCTCAGTATGTTAAGATGGGTGAATATACTTCAGACCAACTGAGTATCACTTGTGGTGTCCCCCAGGGCTCAGTTTTGGGTCCAATGCTGTTCAATCTTTATATAAATGATATATTTAATGTATCAAAAATATTGAAACTAATTCTCTTTGCTGATGACACTAATATTTTCTATTGCAACTCAAATTATAACACACTTGTAAATACTGTAAATATGGAAATGGTAAAATTAAAGAAATGGATGGATACAAATAAATTACTATTAAATCTAAATAAAACTAAAGTAATGACATTTGGGAATTTTAATAGTAATCCTGAATTGCATATTATCATTGACGGTGTACAAATTGAAAATGTAGATGAGAATAAATTTTTAGGTGTAACTATGGACAGCAAATTGTCTTGGAAAGCCCACATCAGGCACATAAAAACAAAAATATCTAAGCCTTTCAATAATGAACAAAGCTAAGCAATATATTGACCACAATGCTCTGCGTATTTTATATTGTTCACTGATTCTCCCCTATTTATCATATTGTGTGGAAATATGGGGTAATAACTACAAATGTGCCATAAATCCATTGTTTTTACTGCAAAAAAGGGCTGTCCGTATCATTCATAAGGTCAGCTTTTTGGAACACACGCATGATCTTTTTATTCGGTCCAAACTACTGAAATTCCACGAACTTGTAAAATACTACACAGTAATCCTACTATTTAAAGCATTTAATAATATACTTCCTAAAAATACAAAAATTCTTCTCTCTTAAAGAGAATGCATATAATTTGAGACGAAATGGAAACTTTATTCTACCAAAAGCTCAGACGACTCGTAAAAGTTTTTGTGTAACTGTATGTGGGGTAAAATTGTGGAATTCTCTGGATTTACAGCAGAAGCTATGCCTAAATAGTCACAAATTTAAACTCTTATACAGAAGTGCAGTGTGGTCAGAATACAGAGTTAGTGGAATACTTAGATAGTTTGTTGTATTGCAGTTGTCCGTATCAGTTCTTGTGTTGTTTTTGATGTTTCTTACTTTCGTTGTTTCTGCTCCATCGCTGCTGCTCTTGTGTTACTGTTGTTTGTGCTTCTGTCCTTACCATCGCTGGTATGTACATTTGTGTTACTGTTGTTCGTGCCTCTGTCCTTACCATCGCTGGTATGTACATTTGTGTCACTATTGTTTGTGCCTCTGTCCTTACCATCGCTGGTATGTACATTTGTGTCACTATTGTTTGGGTCTCTGTCCTTACCATCGCTGGTATGTACATTTGCTGAAAATGTCTAAACTGTTGTATCATTTGCATCCTGTCTATTCTATAAGCTATGTTTGACCGTAAACGAAAATGATATTGCACTTAGTTTTGTGTTCTGGAGTGTAGTAGTATTTTACAAAAGTGTTTAAGTTATGAAAATTTGATTTTTGTTGCATTGAGAATTTTTTATTTTTATTTTTTATTTTTTCTCTTTTTTTCTCCTTTCCTTTTATGGACTTTGAAGTGGAAGTTAAGTTAAATAATGTAACGTAGCTATGGACAATAGGGGTGGGATTCAATAAGTTTTCTTCTTCCCACTCCTTTTCGAGCCAAATCCTTTCTATTTCCTGTACTCTAGTACAGCTGTTCTACATTTGTTATTTTTATTTTTTTATGTGATCTGCTCGAAATGAATAAATAACTAACTAACTAACTAACTAACTAACTAATCCTCCCCCAGAAAAAACTGGCCAAGGGGTGCTTTGAAGATTACATCACTGGTATTTCTGTTTGATATCATATTGATTATGACAGCATAAATAGATGGCATAGAAAATGGTCATTGAAGTGAGTTTTGTTATAACTGGTTCTCACCCCATTTCCAGATTCTGATGATGGAGAGGAGAGCAGAATGGGTAAGTGATAATGGATCTTATGCTGAAGCACTGTTTCCAACAGGGGCCTGTCAAGACTATTGCGCACTAGACTAAGCAACTTGCTGATTTAAAATGAATCCTCTATGAAGGGATAATGTGTCAATGGCATAGCAGGGCTACAGAAAATGAACTGTTAAATTAAGAAGCAGGAGTTGCCAGGTTTACCCTTCATTTTTCTGTGATCTAATATTAATGTTTAAATTTTCATTGATACAGGTGATCTGAATGGTTACATTTTATGTTCACAACACATGCATGCCTACAGCACACATCTTACTCACACTTATCCCAAGCGCACCATACAAGTTCAATACATGGCACATTGTACCACACCTTCCAGCTTATGGTTTGCCCTAATCAAGATTATGCCTGGAAAATTGTCAGCACTCAAAGGAAACATTATTCGTAATAACCTTAATTTGTGGACTTTTTATGTTCTTGAAACTAGGTGGAAAATTACTGCCCTTCCCTATTCCACCTGCTGACATTTATTCTTGTGAGTAAAAGCTATACAAATGTTGATGATATGGCATTAGAATGACAGCATATTTGACTATGTGGATTGTGCTCTATGTTAAAACAGTGGTGCAAGAACAGCTTTTTTGTTAATGCAGGTAAAAAATGCTTATTGTTAATCAAACAGGGGTTCCAAAACCTGTGGCAATTTGAAATGTTTTACATATTTGGGCACCATTATTGATGATGGACTAAATGTATGTGAGAATGTAGATTCAGCACATGACATGTTTATAATTTCCAAAGGAAGTTTTTAAACAAACTCTTGCTTGTTTCAGATACTCAAAGTACATCTATTCCTGTCAATCGGGAAATGTCTCCAGTATGTGAGTATTTGTCATGTCTTCATTTCAGGTCTGTAGTTTAGTCTGTTTAGGTTGTGGCAGTCTCTCTGTACACTTTCAGACTGTAAAGAAATGCCAATTCTCCAACTTCCGCTTTTAATACAGGTTAGCCAATATGAATCACACTGTAGTTCTCAAATTCGGAATATGGGCATTTGAAGTCCACAATGGTCATTTTGAATGTCTAATAATGTGTGATAAACCCTGTAATTTGACACATCCAGATTTCCACCCATTATTTTCCAGTTCCTTCTTCCTCTACAACAAGGATGGGTTTCAAGAACGATCCTCCCCACTGAGAGCGAGGTGGCGTTCACAGAGGTCCCGGTCACATCAATCCCCCCCACAGAGAGAGAGGTCCCGTTCCCGTCAATCCCCCCCACAGAGAGAGAGGTCCCGGTCCCGTCAATCCCCCCCACAGAGAGAGAGGTCCCGTTCCCGTCAATCCCCCCCACAGAGAGAGAGGTCCCGTTCCCGTCAATCCCCCCCACAGAGAGATAGGTCCCGTTCCCGTCAATCCCCCCCACAGAGAGAGAGATCGGGAAGAAATTTGTCTCCCCACTTTCCAATGTCCACAGCAAGTAAGTTTACATTTTTAATACATCAGAGGAAGCATAATGAACGATGCATCTAATGTGCATGATTTTGTTAATGTTGTTAGAATTTCAGAAAAAGGTGTTGGCAAAATTAATGGCCATTCACATGGACATTAAAAGGGCTCTTCAGCGACCCACCCACCACACATCAAATCTGAAAAGGCTAGAAGAGATGTCAGAGTACTTGAGCTTGGAGGAGGATCTAGCCGACGAGGACACCTTCCAGAGCATGGTGAGTTTTGCACAAAGGAAAATGGCTTGCTTAACATGGTGTTGACTGTTTTGCAATTCTTGGTCAGAGGAAGTAACCTAACTAACCTAACTAATATCTGTGATATGAAAGCTGTGGCACTAAATGAATAATACACATAGCATGTCATGTGTCCTGACCATAGACTGTATATATTAACGGACAGAGTCACGCCTATCTCCGCCGTTCTAACTAATGGGCCAAAAAATTTTCTCTACTGGAGCAATCCAAAATGGCCGCGAGTGGTCCCGCCCACAAGAAAATTGTGAAAAAACGCATCTGCGCATGTGTCAGCTGGCGCAACTCCATTCATTTGAACGAGAGACTTCAAAAATTCACAGCAAGAGTGGACCAAAAAAATCCACCCCCCTCAGCATTGACACATGTGGAACGGAGCTTTGGGCCAAGAGCCTACTTTTGGTCCATCCTGTGTGACGGAGTAACCCCGTCAGCTCGCGGGTGAGAGGAGGCCACGGCGTGAACACGCGCACACACACGCACACACGCATGCACACACATACGTTCATACACGCTCATACAGACTTACCTGTTTCCTCCTGCATTTCTCTCTCATAGCGTCAGTCTAGGGTGCACACTTGGCTGGCGTTCAATCACTCTATAGTCCATAGTACTTCCAACCGGTCCAAAAGTATCTCAGTATTTTGTCACACGCACAGCACAGCAAAGTTGGCCAAACCGAACCCCGCGGTCTTCCTTGTTTTTATGCGCCGAGAGTAGGGCTCACAAATGTGACGTCACGCGTCGGGTCACGTGGCACACGGATTTTGGTGAGAAATTATTGTATTCTATGATTTATCATGTATTCTTTCTGTGTTGGTTTTTATTTTCATTTGTGATAATATATTATGAATTTAGGAATTATGTTGATAATCAAAATGTTTCTATTTGAAGAGAAATTGTTATTATTTGTATTAATTGGTTTGGGGGGAGGAGCTTCAGGGTATAAGGCAGGGCTGTCAGAGCCACAATGTGTGTGGAAGCTGGATGATGAGGATGCTGTGCACTGCTGGCACAACGCTCCAGAGCTGTACTCCCTGATGCCCTGGTGGGTAGTCTCTGTACATATTCTTTTGGTCACTACTGGGTTTGCCCTCACGTGCTGCAGCAAAAATAAACATCTGCACTAAAGAAATATAACCTGACCAGACCATATCATTTTGTTTGCATTTCTTTTGAGAACCCGCGACATTTTTGGTGTCAGAAGTGGGATATGGCTGGTCGCAGAAAAGGACTGTGGCCCCGCAAACTTGAAGAGGACTTTTTGGAAAGGCAGAACGAGGGAGAACATGGAGACTCTGAACCATCATCCCCGTCATTTCAGCCAGTTGGTGAGCTGGTGGCTTTATTAAAGGATTTTTTAAATGGACAAGAGAGGAGAGAGGAAGGACTGGTGGCGGAGCTCAGAGAGTTACGGAATGCACTCCCAGCTGCCCAGGCCCCTCAGACTCCAACACATTTTCGGTTTTCGGAGGAATGCCCAAGCAGCTACACTGAAGCGGCTACTGGAAGCGCACATCTTGGACTTCCGACCCCTGGTGGCACTAGAGTCGTGGTACCTCCAGATGAGCGTGAGACAGCGAGGCCGCTGGGTGTTTCCTGGAATGCGGAAAGGGATGCTGGACCCGAGTGGAGACACTTCAGTGATCCAAAAATTCCACCGTTCCAACCCAGTGAGGACATTGAAAACTACCTGCTCAGGTTTGAACGTATTGCCAAGACCTGGAGATGGCCAGAGACCGAGTGGGCTTGCCGGCTGGTCCCACTCCTCTCTGGGAAGGCCTTGGATGCATACACGGCAATGGATGAGGGGGAAGCGCATAACTATACTCACCTGAAGGCGGCGCTCCTCACCAAATTTGATATTTCCCCGGAGACGTATCGGCAGCGCTTTAGAGCCACCGGAGTTCCTGCTGGAGAGACGCCCACGGAGACCTACCATCGGCTGCAAGGACTCTACCGTCGCTGGATTCGCCCCGACATCCTGTCCAAGGACGCGATCGGTGAGCTCATCGTCTTGGAGCAACTGCTGTGTGTGCTTCCGCCGGACGTCCGTATGTGGGTGAAGGAGCACAACTTGGAGGACGGCCTTACAGCAGCGAAGTTAGCTCTTCAGTACCAGAACGCGCATCGAGGATTCACACGCTTTCCCAGTTCGAGTCAACGTCCAGCACCACCACCAGGACCACCTTCTGCACCACCCCCGAGACCAACCCAAGATGTGAGAGGTACCAATTTCCAGTCAGCACCCGGTAAGACCCTGATTTGTTTCTATTGCCAGCAGGCGGGACATAAAGCTTCAGTATGTCCCATGCGTAGGGGTAAGCTAACTGTGGCTTGCTATGCTCCTCGACCTGAGACTGAGTTAGTAGGAACCAAGCTGACAAAAACTGAAAAAACTGGTTACTGTTAACGGACAGCCAGCTATGGCACTACTGGACAGTGGGAGTTTCACTTCCCTGATTAAGAGAAGTTTAGTTCCTATGGGCAGTATAGACTATAGCGCTAAAACGGATGTTGTTTGTGTCCATGGAGACTGTCACCTCTACCCGAGATCCGAGGTCTCTATAGAACTGGATGGACAAGTATATCTACTGACTGTAGCCGTAGTTGACAACCTGCCAAAAGACTTGATCCTCGGGAATGATTTCCCTCTGCTGATGGACTTATTGCAAGGGACAGGGAGTGACTTTGGGGGGACTTCGAGTTCAGTTGGTAATATTGCATGTCCGGTTGTAACGCGTTCCCAAGACCAGGTTACTGGCCTCCAACCTCTGCCTGATTTGGATGTTAGTCTGTGCGAGGGAGGGACTAAGGGCCCAGGTAAATCCAAGCGGCAGCGCCGTTTTGAGAAAGCGTTAGCTGTGACAGATACCAAGGGGCTAATTGCTGATGGGTTGTGGGATGTGCCAGGGGACATTGCTTGTTTACAGAGACAGGATACCTCTTTAAAACATTTGTTTGATAAGGTGGTTGCTAGTCCAAACCCTGTGTCCAGCAAGGAACAGTTTGTAGTGGAGGAGGAAATTCTGTATGCATGTAATGAGGGTCGCAAACGTCTGGTTATCGCTGCTAGCTGTAGACAGTTAGTGTTACACCTCGCACACACACTTCCCTGGGCTGGACATTTAGGCCGTCACAAAACATTCTTGCGGGTCAGCACACGATTCTTTTGGCCAGGCATGTATACTGACGTACAGGCATACTGCACCACATGTCCAACATGTGAGCTCACCGGGTCTCCTCGCAAATCCGACAGGGCACTACTGCAACCTCTCCCCATTGTCTCTGTCCCATTTCGCAGAATTGCCATGGACATAATCGGTCCACTGCCACGGAGTGGGCGAGGTCATCAATACGTCCTCGTCGTGTGCGACTACGCCACTCGTTTCCCGGAGGCTTTTCCCCTTCGGACTATTACAGCGCCTAGTGTGTTACGAGCCCTGGTTCAGCTGTTCTCGCGAGTCGGCATCCCAGATGAAATCATCACCGATCAAGGCACAAACTTTACATCTCGGCTGCTGAACCTGTTCCATAAACAACTTGGCATTTCCGCCATCCGAACCACCCCTTATCATCCACAGACTGATGGACTAGTGGAGCGGTTCAACCAGACGCTCAAAAAGATGCTCCGGAAGTTTGTGGACGACTCGGGAAAGGATTGGGACAGATGGCTTCCTTTTCTGTTGTTCGCCTACAGAGAGGCCCCACAGGAGTCCACCGGCTTCTCACCGTTTGAACTTTTGTATGGGTGGGATGTACAGGGACCGCTGGATCTGCTGGAATCGCAATGGACTGCACCCGATACCAAGCAGAGTGATCGAAGTGTTGTGCAATTTGTGCTCCAGATGAGGGACAAACTGGATCAGTATCGGGAGGAGGCAGTAGAGAACTTGCGAGAAGCTCAGAGGAAGCAGAAGCGGTGGTATGACAAGCGGGCCAGAGACAGGACTTTTGAATCCGGGCAAAAAGTGCTGCTTCTTCTACCTTCCTCCAACAGCAAGCTGCTGGCCAAGTGGCAGGGCCCTTACCTTATCACCAGGCGTATGGGACCTGTCACCTACCAAATCCATCACCCAGACAAGAAAAAGTCCCACCAGACGTATCACGTGAATCTGTTAAAGGAGTGGAAAGAGCCAGTCGCTCCTGAGGCAACTGCCTCCCTTCTCGTACAAGCAGTTGAGATGGAGGAAGAGGACGATCCTGATGTTTCCATTGTCACTGAAGTGGTGAGTACCCCGAACTTGTCCCACCTTACCACCAACATGATCACCCAGCTCAGGCAAGTTTTTGAGGAGATGCCAACCCTGTTTTCCGCTAAACCTGGTCAGACTGTAGTGATCGAACACACCATCCGACTGAAGGACCAGACACCGTTCCGTCAGAGGCCCTATCGTGTTCCCCAAAAGTTGGTCGAGCAGCTGAAGAAGGAGATAGAGGCTATGATGCAGTTGGGGGTGATCGAACCATCCAGCTCTGAATGGTGTAGCCCGGTCGTCATAGTGTACAAGAAGGATGGTACACTCCGGATATGCATTGATTTCCGGAAGCTCAATGCAGTCTCTGAATTCGACGCATATCCGATGCCTCGCATTGATGAGCTGTTGGAACGGATCGGCTCTGCCCGCTACATCACCACCCTTGATCTGTGCAAGGGTTACTGGCAGGTGCCTCTGGATCCCAGCTGTCGGCCCTACACTGCCTTTCGCACTCCAGCAGGCCTGTTCCAGTTCACCGTAATGCCGTTTGGTCTACATGGAGCACCTGCAACATTCCAACGGCTGATGGACAAGGTCCTGGAGGGCTGTAGTGAGTGTAGTGCCGCATATCTTGATGACGTGGTGATCTACAGCCAGACATGGGACGAACATCTCAGGCACTTGAGGAAGGTCTTGGGGAAGATCCAGAGTGCAGGGCTCACCCTAAATGTAAAAAAAGTGTGAGTGGGCCCGAGAAGAGGTGCGCTATCTGGGCTATCAACTCGGCCATGGCGAAGTCCGACCCCAGGTCGACAAAGTGTAGGCGATAAGGAACTGTCCAAGGCCCAGAACCAAGAAAGAGGTGCGGTCTTTCTTAGGCCTTGCGGGATGGTACAGACGTTTTGTTCCCCAGTTTTCCACGATTGCTTTTCCCCTTACCACACTCACCACGAAGGACCAAAAGAATCCGGTGAACTGGACTGAGCAATGTGAGGTAGCTTTTAAGACACTCAAAGACTTTCTGTGCTCCTCACCTGTCCTTCGAAGTCCAGATTTTACCCAGAACTTTGTGGTTCAAGTGGACGCCTCTGCCGTGGGACTGGGTGCTGTACTAGTCCAAGGAGATCCAGGTGAAGAAAGGCCCATTCTGTACCTGAGCAGGAAGTTGCTGCCAAGAGAGGCGAGGTACTCCGTAGTGGAAAAGGAGGGTCTCGCCATCAAGTGGGCCCTTGAGAGTCTCCGATACTATCTCCTAGGGCGAGAGTTTATCCTTGAGACGGATCACCGGGCTCTCACCTGGATCAACACCATGAAAGACCACAACGCCAGGCTGTCGCGATGGTACCTTTCCCTACAGCCTTTTAAATTCACCGTGCGTCATCGGAAGGGCACGGCCAATGTTGTTGCGGACTATCTGTCTCGGTTGCCCAACCTTGGCAACCTTGGGAAGGGGAAGAATAGTGTGACGGAGTAACCCCGTCAGCTCAAAGACGTTTTTGAGAGGTCTGCCAATGCTATATGTTAGCATTGGCTAATTCTACTAATGGGTCCACCCCCATCGACCCGGGGTGGTATTGCAGCATGTCAGCGCACGTCATTTTGGCCACTTTTGAGCTGGGACCCGCCCCCACTGGTCCTGACATGTTTTCTAACCTGGTCTTATGTTTACTTCCAGCACTGAATGTGATGTCCTTTCTCTTTTGTTCTCTACAGTTGCAGCAGCTTTCTCGGGTTGGAGGGAAGGACCTGAAGGACTGTGTCCACAAAGTTCTTGACCGGTAGGTTGTGTTATCGCTTTTGGCAGTTAACCCTTTATGTGCCAGGGGTTCTGTCATAATAAACTGGATTCAGACATCTTAATTTCATAAGGCTGTAACTTCAACTTTGTGTCATCCTATTTATTTCACTGATAGTGTCTTATCATTTGTAAGTTAGGTATTCAATTCACCTATCAAATTGGCATATTAAGTAGTCAGTGGTGGCAATCATGACTTTAGAATTTGAATGACATGTTTTACTGACAGACATATCACTAGGACATGAACACTCTAACTTAACTATTTCACTGAACATTTAGCATGGTGCAATGCTAGTTCTGTTAAAGTTCAGTGTAAATCAATACTGTAAGCAGCCTGCGAAGTGTCAGTGCGACTCTCCCTGCTGTCCCCCTGTCTCTAGGCTCTCTTTCCCGTACAACACGATTAAGGCTTCTCCATCACTTTACTGCCCCTGTGATTTTGGGGATGCACAATAATACATCCATGGGAGGCACAAGCAGGTAGTTGAACAGGTGTTGTACTTTGTAAACACTGTACAAAACCAAACTCAAAACACAGCTGTTCAGTCTATTTCAGTCTAGTCCTTTGTCTTTCTCTTGTTAAATTGATTGATTCTTGTTCTGTATTTTAATTACATGCATAGTGTTTATGTCCTCGGGTTTTTAAATACTCTTAGAATGTGTATTATTGGATATTGTTCAGATATCTTTTAATGAGGCATCTCTTTCCCTCAGATTGTTCTGCAACTCTCTGATGAGCCACTTTAATATGAAGGGCAGGGGACACAAGGGGAAAATGCCTTTTGAAAAGAGCAATGTGTACAGGGCAATACAGGGTAAGTGGATGTCAGGCCTCATTTGGGGCAGTGGTTTTTTGGCATTCAAAGACAGTTCTGAGGTGTTGCAGAATACTTGACCACATTATGTTGAAAATAAACTGTTACTCCACATTTTCAGGTGCTGTTCTGCTACATTGTAAAGAGGGGACTGAAGACGAAGTGAGGATGTATGTTGGGGATCACCTCAAACATGCCCCAAGACGTGGAAGGCTGGCCTAAAAGAGGAAACTGCCAACGTTTTGATTTCTCCATTCACATGCCTTTCTGATTGTTTTTTTACAACTCGGGAACCTAGAGTGACATTTTCTGAATGTGGTGTTGATGCTAAAGAGAACACATGAACCAACTTTTCAGTATGTTTGTACTAATGACACCTTCATCACTGTGGCCTAATAGGGATCAAATTATCCTCAAGTAGAACTTGTATGTACATTTATGTAATTTTGAAAGAATGTTAATTATAATCTATAAAACGCATGTAGTTAGGTGTTGTCTTGTTGGCTACAAGTGGGAGCCTGAAACTTCAGCAGTGTTTGGCAAGTTACTTTGAGAATGTAATGTGTTACTAATTACTATAAGAAGCTAGTGTATGTTACTTTTTGTAACAATCATGTTCATTTGCTTTAATTAAATGAAGGTGAAATGCAAATGAGTTCTAATGTATATTTAGGCTGTGCTTATCGTTTATTGCTAAATGTTATGTTGGGTATGTAAGTGATTTGGCATAACTGGGTCAAAAGGACTGAAAAAGGAACGTCGTATAAGCGTGAATATTTTGGTCATATGAGACATTATTAGAACGTCGGACCCGACCGGTTCTGTACCAGATTCAGACCTTGAATGGACGTGCCATCTACGTTGAAATTACGTTGTTTTCACATCTGCATGCTAAGTGGAAAGGACTGGAGAGGAGCGTCATATAGACGTCTATTTTGGTCATATGAGACGTTATTAGAACGTCGGACCCGACCGGTTCTGTACCAGATTTGGACCATAAATGGACGTGCCATTGACGTCAAATTTGGAGGTTGAGGTGACGTCGGGAAACGACGTTGAGAAAACTTTCATTCTGCACCCACCAGTGACCTATATTCTACGTCGGACAACGACGTTCAAATGACGTTGATTCAACGTCGGCTTGCTTAGTGGGTACGCTCACAGGTAGTAAGTAGTAAGCTTTAGCTTTATTTATCACAGGTACGTTCACAGGTACGATCACAGGTACGTTCACAAGTACGATCACAGGTACGTTCACAGGTACATTCACAGGTACGCTCACAGGTACATTTACAGGTACGCTCACAGGTACATTCACAGGCTGTAGCCCAGAGCAGGAAACATCCTCTTTTACCTTAAAGGGCGACTAAACACCTGTGCCCAGCCTGACTCCGCCCACATGAAGATTTGAATTATTTTCTTAAAAGGCCGTTGCCTGGAGGACCAAGGGACAAGAAGGGGGGGCTTAGAGTTGGGCGTGATCTGGGCTGTGATTGACAGCTCACTTTTCACTCAAAAAAAAAAAACACAGTTGTCATTGCTGCTTAAAAAAATAGTTTACACACCAGAAAGTCTCATTCCACCCTTGTTTACACACTCAGATGTAAAGCTACACACCTGAACCTCATCCATTGATTTATCTCAGCAGCAGTGGTTGTCCACTCATGCAATTTCATTTTAAACCACTAGATGTCGCCAGAATACTCCAACCTGCTGCTGTGGCGTGTGTGAGTGAAATGGGTTTATATCACTGGGCAGAGAGAGGCACGTCACACACACCAACTGACGTCACACACACCAACTGACGTCACACGCACCAACTGACGTCACACGCACCAACTGACGTAACACACACCAACTGACGTCACACACACACCAACTGACGTCACACACACACCAACTGACGTCACACACACCAACTGACGTCACACACACCAACTGACGTCACACACACCAACTGACGTCACACACACCAACTGACGTCACACACCAACTGACGTCACACACACACCAACTGACGTCACACACACACACCAACTGACGTCACACACACCAACTGACGTCACACACACACACCAACTGACGTCACACACACCAACTGACGTCACACACACCAACTGACGTCACACACACCAACTGACGTCACACACCAACTGACGTCACACACACCAACTGACGTCACACACACCAACTGACGTCACACACCAACTGACGTCACACACCAACTGACGTCACACACCAACTGACGCCACACAGAATAACAGTCAATGGAGAGGCCAGGACTAAATTAAAATGTAGTACCACCGAAAAGGTAGAGAGGGCGCCACACAGACGTTTTTTGGTGTTTAGTCGCTCTTTAAGGACAATGACACTGTTGACTTTGTCTTTTCATGTAAGTCCCTGTGCTACCACCAGAGGGACCAGAGAGAGACCTCCACTGTTACAGGAAACTGAGGTTCAATTTCTAGAGGAGAGACAAAGAGGATGTGTTTTATTTCACACTGATGGTTTTACTGAAAAAACAAAAACCATTTGAACCCAACATTAATTCATGACAGAAATATCTGAGATTGTATTTGCATAAAAACATGTATTGTGGATTTCTCACATCACTGCAGTGAAGGTCTTTCTGTGTGTGTTTGTGTGTCAGTGATTGTGTGTTTGTGTGTCAGTGATTGTGTGTTTGTGTGTCAGTGATTGTGTGTTTGTGTGTGTTATCTTTCAATGGTGGTTTTACGAGCTGTGATAGTAGCTGTACTGCTTCAAAATATCTAAAATAGGTTATTGACAAAGTAAACAAAAACAGGGCAATAGCTGTTGATTTGCATGTTGTGTCTATTAAAGCTGGGGTACCTAAATAATCAGGTTTCCCAGACCCCTAAAAACAGTAGCTTCCCCATCATCGCCAAAATAAAAGCCCTGGAACACGTTGGAACTAACTTTAACCCAATGTCATGTGACCAACAGGCGATGAACTCTCCACAGGTGAAAGTAGATCCTCACGTTTCTGCCTTTCTCTCCATTTTGAAAGAACTCGAACTTCCAAACAGGAGGGAGCAGCAAAAGTGGGACTATCGTTGGTGTGATTCCTCATGTGTTCAATGCCCATGTGAGAAAAGCTTCAGAAACAACCATCTCATCTGGACTTTTGAAATAGAGGCCATTTTCCTGCCCTTCACAGGTCCTTCATGACCCATGCACGACAGTCCAAAAGTCTCCATTCTCCAACATTGTTCAGAACAGGTGACTACTGCTGTAACCTTCCCGATCATGTGACCAACACCACGTCAATGGAATCTGTGATGTGTGCAAAATGTTGTGTGTTTGTTGAACGACTTTAGCAAATCATCAAGAAATCAAGCATTCCTCCATGATGTGTCTAAGTCCTAACTCTGTAGTGAAAGCTAAGTTAAGTTAAAAAGTCATTTCACACTTTTTATATTTGCCTGCTGGTGTTTTTACAGGTCCATCTATGTATCTATCGTCACCTAATCTTCAAGCACTCCTTCCAGGTGGATGGATGGAAGAGGATGACGAGGCACTAGGCCTTCTCACGAGCTGTAGGGGCAACAGACGGCTGCCAGGTCCAGTTTAGGCCTCCAGGGGGCGCTGATGGGCAGTCCTTCAAGATCAGGAAGCTTTTGGACATCGTCCTCAGGCTGTGACCATCAGAGTCTGGACCAAGTCTCTCTGGACATGTATGTGAGCTGTCCTGGGTCAGGTACCCCAGCTTTAATGCTTTAATGCATCTACTCTTTGTCACCACTAGATGTCATCGTTCAGAGAGAGAGGACACTTCACAATATGCAACACTTTTATTCTGATAAACAGGAACTCAAACAAAAATATACACATCTTTTCTACAAATAAACATTCTTTTGGCTCGTTTCATCTTTTTGAAATTTGGCCCAAAACACTTTTACAAACAGCAGCAACTAACTGTGACCCAAACCTTTACCTGAGCCCAGGACACACAGGTTTACACTTCTGTACTCTGCAAACTTCATCTCAAATAAATCCAAAAGTCCAGAGGGTCTGTGTCTCTCACATGGGAACGCCTCAGGACTCCACTCTGTTGTGTTTCCATCCCACTCTAGTATCTGGTACCGTATCCTAGCAACCAACCACAACAAACCAGTATTCGGGGAATGGTAACCTTGGTAACCTTG